AGAGAGAGAGAGAGAGCATCTTTGGTTTTATTGTTTTATTTATTTGTTTGTTTATATTTTATTTCCTATCGAGTGACTTGTATAAAATGCTGGAGTGCCTGTGAATGAGTTCAGATGTGAGTTTTGGTTAGAAACTTTGTTTCTATGAATTCTGTAAAGCTGTTGAAGGTAGGCTTGTTAGCTTTCCCTAATTTCAGATCAGTTCATCAGTTGTTTTAAAGAAATCTTCGTGTTTTTCTGGTTGGAATTTGCATCAGAGTGGGACCCACTAAAATGGTTTATTGGATTAAGTTTAGTGGTGATGGAGATGGGCCTTCTTTCTTTATAGCGCTCTTTCTATTTTTGTCTAAGCTTTCTCTTTGAGAGGATCAAACCAGCCTGACATACCCTTTTCTGAATTGCATAAAGCAAACTATTTTATCATGTTAAGAATTTCTTTATGGAATTCTGCCGACCTCCTTGTTAGGTCATGGTGTACCTCTTCTGTTTGGGCTCTAATATGAGAAGAAAAGCTGCAAAGAACTTTCTTTTTTGTGGTTTGCAAATTATATCGAGTAATTAAATTCTGACCCTATTGAATTTGTACACATACACTTGCACTTGTACATCCTTGTAACATCACTTTTGCTGGTAGCAGTTTCTATTGTGCATTGGTCCTCCTTGAGAGATATTTTTCTCTATGATTTTCACTAGTGTCTGTATCTCTATGTTGTGTCAAATTTGTCGAAGCTAGACTACTTCTCCTAGTTAACTTCTGGATCAGACTTGGATTGGGTTTGCCTTGTTAACCTTGTAATGGTTCTATCATTGTAACAGTTACGTCTCTGTCTAAGGCATCATTGAGCTTTTCTAGGAAGCAGCCAGATTATAATTGCCTTCTATATCTTATTATTATTCGGTTATCTATATCTCCAGTGCAATCCCTTGAGTGACAATTTATCTTTAGAAACTAATTAGTGCCCCTTGTCCAGTTAATTGCAGAGTCAGCAGAAGATGTCTGGGATCGCTATGGTTTTGATTTTGGAACAAACTATTCTGGTCTTTACAGAGCACTTTCTCATGTGAACTATAGTGTCCGTGCAGCTGCTGCTGAGGCCTTAGCTGCAGCGATTGATGAAAATCCTGAAACAACCCAAGTAAGTTTGGAATGTTATTCCTGATAGCACATGTAAGTTTAGAGGGTTTCAGTTTCTCTGTAATAGTTATATTTTATTTATACTTGTGCAATGGCCTTTTTCATTTGACAGGAAACTCTTTCAAATTTGTTTTCTTTGTATATTCGTGATATTTCGACTGGAGGGGATAGTGTGGATACTCGCTGGATTGGAAGACAGGGTATAGCGCTGGCATTACATTCTGCTGCTGATGTCTTGAGGACCAAGGATCTTCCTGTTGTGATGACTTTTTTGATATCAAGAGCACTGGTAAGTTTGGGGAATTCTTTGTAAGTTTACCTGTGAATAATTCTAATTTATAAAATTGCCACTGCTGTGGTGAACATTGATTGTTTTCTGCTTCCTTATCTCAAATTTTATTTTTCTGTAGTTTTTTGAGTTGTAGTTGTCATCTAGTTGCTTGTGCACAAATTTATTCATCTTTATGTGATATTTCTTTTATAAATTTTGAAGTTTGTGTGGTGTGTTCGTTTCCCAAGTTTGCAGGATATGGCAACTACGATTTTCTGATGGGTTTAGAATTGTTTTCATTTGTTGGTGTAGATATAAATCTGGTTTCTTTTGCACAGTTTAAAAGATAGTGGCATGACGGTGCTGCTTATAATTTGTCAGTCACTTATTATTTGTACGTTTGCATGATTCTGGCATGATGATAATGCTTCTGATTTGTCTGGTACTTTTTATTTCAGGCTGATTCTAATATGGATGTCCGTGGGAGAATGATTAATGCTGGTATAATGATCATCGATAAACATGGAAAGGATAATGTCGCATTGTTGTTTCCTATATTTGAAAACTATTTAAATAAAAAGGTAAAGTTTATTTCAAATGATTCTGGTTTATGATGTGAATTTTTCATTATTGCTAATAATTGCTTAGATTTTGTCATGCCTTTAGTCTTTCCGAGAACTGATTGTTTTTCATAACTGGGAGAATGTAGCTGCATTGATTTAGTTTTGACTTTTTCTGTAAAATTGTAGGCTTCTGATGAGGAGAAATATGATTTAGTTCGTGAGGGTGTTGTTATTTTCACAGGAGCACTTGCAAAACATTTATCAAGGGTTTGTACTGACTAAAGCAATTTACTGTCTTTCGCTCTGAAGTAAATTTTTAGATATCTAAGGCTAGCTGAAATTCCTAATGTGCATTACAGGATGACCCTAAAGTCCATACTGTGGTTGAGAAGTTGTTAGAAGTATTAAACACTCCATCTGAGGCTGTCCAACGGGCTGTTTCAGACTGTCTGTCGCCATTGATGCCTTCAAAACAGGTCAGTTGTTCTCATGTTAGGCTATTAAAGGCAATATTGTGTTCTTTATTCTTTTACAGGAGATTTTCACTGTACTATTCTCATTATTATTGTTGTTGTTAGTAGTATTGTTGTTGTTGTTGTTATTGTTATTATAAGTAGTGGTAGTGGTAGTGGTGGTGGTGGTGGAGGTAGTAGTGGTTTTAGCAGCAGCAGCAGCAGTACATAATTCTAATCATGTGGTGCGTCCTCTGTAGTTTGTGACATTATTATTATTATTGTTATTATTATTATTATTGTGGTGCATCCTCTGTAGTTTGTGACATTAGTATTGTTGTTATTGTTGTTGTTGGATTTGACCTTTTCCATCATGTATATTTTTTCACTTGGTTACAAATCGGTTGCTACTTCTTCATTTTAGTGATTGCTGTCCTGGAGTCATGAATCTTCAAGGCAAATGCTAAATGTTATGTCATTATAAATCAAATAGGGAAACCTTTATTTAGCTACACAAGTGAGGGTTTATTATTATTATTATTATTATTATTGTTTTTGGATTTGACCTTTTGCATCATGCATATTTTTTGACTTGGTTACAATTTGGTTGCTTCTTCATTTTAGTGATTGCTGTCCTAGAGTCATGAAGTATTTTTTTTCACTTGGTTACAATTTGGTTGCTACTTCTTCATTTTAGTGATTGCTGTCTTGAGTCGTGAATCTTCAAGGCAAGTGCTAAATGTTATATCATTATAGATCAAATAGGGAAACCTTTTATAGCTACACAAGTGGGGGTTTGTCCACCCTTTTATTTATGTAGACGAAAGTTTACAAGATTTAAGATAGACCTTGTGTGATACAGTATCTAGTATCTACAAAGATTCTCGCTGCAACTATCTCTGTATATCTTATATATATTAAGAAATCACTGGATTTGTTCGAACTCACTCGAGATTAATTGGAAATTTGCATTTCCATCTCTCATATAGTACTAACTTTTTCATTTCTTGGTAATATTTTCTTGCTTTCCGGGAAACTATTTCAAATCTTCCATATGCCTTAGTGCCTCTTGAATGGTCTGGTAATGGTTTTCTTTTGCTAGCTAGTTTCTTTCTTGCCATATGATCCAAGTTAGAGTGGGGAGGCTTTGCAAAAAGCTTGTCTAGGATCTTGTTATGGAACTTCTTTTGGAACCAATTATTTAAGAGACTTCAAATGGGGCTCATTTTGAATCACATATGATGCTTGCCATATGATCCAAGTTAGAGTGGGGAAGCTTTGCAAAAAGCTTGTCTAGGATCTTGTTATGGAACTTCTTTTGGAACCAATTATTTAAGAGACTTCGTATGTTTAGATCAAATGGGGCTCATGTTGAATCTCCACATATGTGATTGCCAAATCTCCCTAACAAAGGCACATGTTGTGAAGAGATGATCATGATCTTCGATTTTGGCTCTACACAGGAGGTACCTACAGCCTCTATAGAAACCCCATTTTTGTACTATCGGCGGTTGGAAGACATTATTAATAAGCTATTCATATGAACCACAAGGCTAGGTGTAAATTGGTTTATCGCATATTTCCTCAAGAATTTTGTTTTTAGTGTCGTGGTCTCTTGTATGTTCATTGGTGCTTTTTAATGTGATTTCCCTATCATCATTAGGCACCGATGAGAGTCCATCTTCTTTCCCACTCTACCTATATGAAGGTTTTCTAGTATTATCATCAATCTCCTCCCACTCAATGGAGGTAGTTATCATGAATTCTCATCCCAAAATTGGGATGTGGCTAGGGATCTTTCAAGCCCCAAATCTCTTCTAATTTCTTACTCGGATATCTCATGAGAAAATCAATATTAGAATCATCTCCTATGAGCCATTTGCTATTTTCCTTCATCCATTAGAGTCATCATCATCATCAGAGTCTTTTCCCAATTTTTTAGGCTGGCTACACGAATTTTGGTCCGCCTTTTTGCTCTATCAAGGGCCATAACCTCAATGAGGCCTTAAGTCCCCATATCTTTATTCACTGATTTCAACTATATCCTTTTGGGCCTACTCCTTACCCTCTTTGAGCCTTTCACTTGAACCAACTTACACCTCCTAACAGATGCCATACTAAGTCTGTGTTGCACATGGCTAGCCTATTTAGGTCAACTTTCTCTCATCTTATTACCTATTGGAACCAAATCTAATTTTTCCCCAATGTATTCTCCTTCATCGATGGAAGTATCTCATGTATTCCTTTCCAAGCCTAAAAACTATTCTATAGGGTTTTTACGCACAACACTTTACTTATATTTGGTTCCAGTTCTTGGTTTCTAAGGTAAGCACAGAAGCATTGTTTAGTGAAATGGTTTCTTATTTGTTATGTTCTTTGGAGTTGTGTCTGCGCTAATACATTTGATTCCTTTTAAGTGTTGTGTCTTGGTTCTGTGTATGAAGATGGAAAAGAATATTTTTTGTTGTACCAATGAAAATTTTTAGCATATTATGATATTTATGAGCAGTGGTTTAAAAAATGGATCGGTGCCCTAGATCGGACACCACAAAAACCCTTCCGGATAGGTGAACCGCGATCTGACTCGGGAAAGGCCGAATTGGTCTTAAAAAAAATCTGAAAAAATTATTAAAAATTTTTATAAATGTTTTTTAGGAATCCAATAAAAAATGGGGGTACTCCATTAAGAACTTTCATTTTTTTTTTCGTCAATATGCGAATATTGAGATGTTTTTCCCCTGCATGAACTACTATTAACCATTAAATTTATCACACAAAAGGATAAGCATAGAATTATCATGGATGAAATATATCATCATACATGGACTACAATAAGGAATGGATTAAATCGATGAAAAAATGGCCACCAAAATCTCGAATTGGTAGAAAATCCTAATCCA